CGTCATATATTGACATTGAAAGTCCATGACCAAACACTGATATGTGACGAGGTCGGAGTGAGAATGTGTTGGTAAAACACAAAATATTAACAATAAAAGTCTCTGGGGATGTGTGTATACGTGAGAGAAAATCAGCCCTAATTAAATTAAAATCTGGTGTCAGTGTTGTAGTTCAGACAAAATATTTGTTTCACTTTCATCTCAATTAACTTTCACTTAATTTTACTGATCAGTGACAATAATAACATTGGTCATTACTTTGCAGCCGGACTAAAAAATAAAAAACGCGCTTGTGAAAAACAAAAGATTGTATGAAGGCGCCCGAAGTGAAGATCACAGTCAACACTTGTACTCTCATGAGCTGCCAAATTAAAGTGATAAGACATGTGAGGAATGTCAGAGTTTTACAATATAACGTTAAACTAAGGAAGCTCAAAGTGGACATGATTGCAGACATTCTTGTAGACCTGTAATCCAAACATCACAATTTACTTCATTATGTTTAGGGACAATATCAAGGGCTAAAATTAAACAACAAACTTAAAAAAAAGAACAAAAATGTTCATTCACCATGATAAAACAAAATAATTATTTAATAATTTAACTGGCCTAAAAATATCAGTAGTCTTATCTTTCTTTCTTTTTACTTGTTCCATATTTCTTTCCTCTCAAAACACCAACCAGGAAGACTTCTTACTGTACATTCAATACATTAATTTACAATACAATATTTCTATGTGCAACCAGTCGATTGCCTCCCTACAGTGCTAATATAAATGCACACTTTCTTCTTCTATGGTACGTCAGATGCATTTGATAGGGTTAGTAACTGAATCAGGTTATGATTAAGGCACTATCAACTTTTTATACACATATATGGACCACCAGACAAATCACCTTTTGCTGATGATACTGTACTTTTCATGCATTATTGCTTATCAATGAATAACTGTGGTTACTGCATGTTTCTAAGTGACATCTGCTGGTTTTCTGCCTGTAATTAATTTGCAGCTAAACCTATGAAGCATTTCACAACTTAGCATTTCGATTCCGAACTCTGCACACCTTCAGACACTAACGTTGTTATGGTTTCCATGTCAAAGGTCAGTTTATAGATTTTGTTTTAAAAGGTGGAGACACAACAAAACATAACTACCGATCCTTGCCATTGATTACCTTGTTCTTTATTTCTGTTTTATTTAAATAAAAATATTCATCTTTTTTATGGTTACAAATTTCCACTTGTTAATCATCATATGAGCATTTCTTTAAGTATTTTTACAAAGTAATGGGTATGTTTAGGATTAGATATTTTGTCGCAAATTGATTCTGGCATCAGTGTCTCGTTAAACTCCCCAAATAAATATCCAGGTTTATGAATTGTTAATGTAAGGACTTTATTATTGGACGATTCTGCTTAACGTTAACATTATAAACAGTAAATGTTTTAACGTCCAGTGCTTTTAAAGTTAATTTCTTCCTCCAAAAAGGGAGAAATCTTCAGTCAGATATTGCAGGGCCCAACAGGGATGGGGGTGGAACCCTAAATAAAAAAATAAATACATATATTAGAGGTTATTGTGACTGTTCATGTTACTATAATCCAGACAGTCGTTACAGCAGATACTACCAATACTGTAGGAAAATATTACTCCCAGGATTTAATCTATTTTCATATATGTCTTTATATTCCCTTCAAACAATACTGACTGTTTCCTTCAGCATACTGAAGCACACAAAACATGATGCACATTTAAATGTTGAGTCTGTGATTCCTTCTTTCTTAAATGAGTTTCTTTCCTTCAAAGTGTGAGGGGCTACTGTAGGTACCCAGTGATAGGATATCATAAGGTACTAACTGTGGTTGAGAAAGGTGATGACAGAGGGCAAAGGACCATGCCTACAACGTCTATATTGCCAAAAATGGAGAGAAATGGTTTGTCTCAATATGACCAGGAGATGTATCTGTGGGGCGCTGACACTTTGTACCTGCTGCTGAGATTCTGAGATTGCTGTAATAATTCAGTAACGCTGACCACCGCTGACGACAGTGATCTCTGTTTGAGGCTGAACTTTAAATTCCAACTGAAAGCATGTTTACTGCTCCCTTTCTGTGAGTAAAAATAATGCTTTTAAATGTAGACTGCCGGTGTTACATCACAGAGAATGAGAGTGCCCCTGTTGCTTTATAGGGAACAAAAGAATGCCAGTTACACCATGGGAAATGAGAGTGTGCCAGTGTTGCAGTGTAGGGAATGAGAGAGTGCCAGTGTAGTACTGTAGGGAACAAGAGAGTGCCAGTGTTGCAGTGTAGGGAACAAGAGGGTGCAGGTGTTGCAATGTAGGGAACAAGAGAGTGCCAGTGTTGAACTATAGGGAACAAGAGAATGCCAGTGTTGCAATGTAGGGAATGAGAGAGTGCCAGTGTAGTACTGTAGGGAACAAGAGAGTGCCAGTGTTGCAGTGTAGGGAACAAGAGGGTGCAGGTGTTGCAATGTAGGGAACAAGAGAGTGCTGTTGCACTGTAGGGAACAAGAGAGTGCCAGTGATACAGTGTAGGGAACGAGAGGGTGCCGGTGTTGCAATGTAGGGAACAAGAGAATGCCAGTGTTGCACTGTAGGGAACAAGAGAATGCCAGTGTTGAACTGTAGGGAACAAGAGAGTGCCAGTGTTGCACTGTAGGGAACAAGAGAATGCCAGTGTTGAACTGTAGGGAACAAGAGAATGCCAGTGTTGAACTGTAGGTAACAAGAGAATGCCAGTGTAGCACTGTAGGGAACAAGAGAGTGCCAGTGTTGAACTGTAGGGAACAAGAGAATGCCAGTGATGCACTGTAGGGAACAAGAGAGTCTGTAAAATCCAGAACTGAATTTAAAATCCTACTGTTAACTTATAAAGCTCTAAATGGTCAAGCTCCGTCATATCTTAGAGAGCTCATAGTGCCATATTATCCCACCAGAACACTGCGCTCTGAGAACGCAGGGTTACTCGTGGTCCCTAAAGTCTCCAAAAGTAGATCAGGAGCCAGAGCCTTCAGCTATCAGGCTCCTCTCCTGTGGAATCATCTTCCTGTTACGGTCCGGGAGGCAGACACCGTCTCCACATTTAAGACTAGACTTAAGACTTTCCTCTTTGATAAAGCTTATAGTTAGGGCTGGCTCAGGCTTGCCCTGTACCAGCCCCTAGTTAGGCTGACTTAGGCCTAGTCTGCCGGAGGACCCCCCTATAATACACCGGGCACCTTCTCTCCTTCTCTCTCTCTCTCTCTCTCTCTCTCTCTCTCTCTCGTATTCTATTACTGCATCTTGCTAACTCGGCCATTCTGGATGTCACTAACTCGGCTTCTTCTCCGGAGCCTTTGTGCTCCACTGTCTCTCAGATTAACTCATATCACAGCGGTGCCTGGACAGCGTGACGTGTGTGGTTGTGCTGCTGCCGTGGTCCTGCCAGATGCCTCCTGCTGCTGCTGCCATCATTAGTCATTAGTCATACTTCTACTGTTATTATACACATATGACTATTGTCACACATGTATACTGCCAGATATTAATACATACTTTCAACATATTGTACCACAGTAGCCAGAACTATAACTATAATATTATTACTTTCAATAATGTTGTTGTAAGCTACTGTCATTACCTGCATCTCTCTCTCTCTCTCTCTCTCTCTCTCTCTCTCATTCTATTACTGCATCTTGCTAACTCGGCCATTCTGGATGTCACTAACTCGGCTTCTTCTCCGGAGCCTTTGTGCTCCACTGTCTCTCAGATTAACTCATATCACAGCGGTGCCTGGACAGCGTGACGTGTGTGGTTGTGCTGCTGCCGTGGTCCTGCCAGATGCCTCCTGCTGCTGCTGCCATCATTAGTCATTAGTCATACTTCTACTGTTATTATACACATATGACTATTGTCACACATGTATACTGCCAGATATTAATACATACTTTCAACATATTGTACCACAGTAGCCAGAACTATAACTATAATATTATTACTTTCAATAATGTTGTTGTAAGCTACTGTCATTACCTGCATCTCTCTCTCTCTCTCTCTCTCTCTCTCTCTCTCTCTCTCTGTCTCATTGTGTCATACGGATTACTGTTAATTTATTATGCTGATCTGTTCTGTACGACATCTATTGCACGTCTGTCCGTCCTGGAAGAGGGATCCCTCCTCAGTTGCTCTTCCTGAGGTTTCTACCGTTTTTTTCCCCGTTAAAGGGTTTTTTTGGGGAGTTTTTCCTGATCAGCTGTGAGGGTCCTAAGGACAGAGGGATGTCGTATGCTGTAAAGCCCTGTGAGGCAAATTGTGATTTGTGATATTGGGCTTTATAAATAAAATTGATTGATTGATTGAAGAGAGTGCTGTTGCACTGTAGGGAACAAGAGAGTGCCAGTGTTGAACTGCAGGGAACGCCAGTGTGTCTGTGTTTTCCTTGCTACTATAGGGAACCATTGTTAGAGAATGAGAGTGCCGCTGTGAGAAGGTGAAGAGGGAGAGTGCCGTTGTTACACTATAGTGAACGAGAGTCAAAGTAAACTAATTTGTGTTGTAGCCTACATGCAATGGGCATGTTGAATTCATGCAAAACTAGGGGGTGTCATCATGAAACCAAAAAATGTAAAGCATAAATTTCTGCCTTTTGGTTTCTATTTTGTTTTTCTCAAAGGAGAACACAGGACAAATTGTTTAAAGGGCAGATATGTATTTTGTAGATGTTGTGTGTTTTAAAATGAAATTTAATTTCAGTCGGACTTTAAAGATCTGTCCCTTCCTCTCCACTACTTTATTCACCACTACATGGATGAAGGTGATACAGATGTGATGACATTTTATCCCAACAAAACACACATTTACACACCCCACAGGCATACTGTTTAAACCCAGCCTTGCCGTCTTGTGTAAATGTCTATGGCACATGGAAAACCAGCAAGAAACAGAAAAACACACATCTGCATGTGCAGTCGTCTGAAACACATGAAGATTGAAGCTGATCAGGATAAAATATTTATTTTATCAAAAATAGATCACAATTGAAGATTGACAAAATAAAAATAGCAACAGTAACTGGAAATAAAAAACAGGGGAAAAAAGGAAAGAAATCAAAAATGCATTTTGCTTCCACACTGAAGTTCCCAGAGCACAGGAATCACTCACACTATTGCTTCGTCCTCTTTTTGCATGAAAATGAGACAATTTGGTGACAAGCCTGAAACTGAACTCTGCAGTCGAGAATGAATGAATGAATGAATGAATGAATAGATGTTACATGTAGTGAATATTACGTGATCTGACCTGGCTGAAATGTAGTCACAAGGACATTGCTGCACTCACAGGGGAAATGCTGTTTTAATTGTTGCACATACAGAATACATTAATCATCACCACTAATGCTGAGTCACAGCTCATCAGTGCCTCTGTCAACCAGAAATCACCCTCGGCTGTTTTTATGTCTAAGCAAAGCAGAATTACAACAAGACCAAACTGCAGAGTTGATGCTCGGGTTTGATGGATACAAGTTTTTACAGACCAGTTTCACTGATTTGTGACAATGATAAAAACAAGTTAAGCATTTTGGGGAATGATTTTGTTCATCATCTTCCCCAGAATCAGGTGAGAAGATGGACTGGGCATCATTTTGTGCATCTCTAGATGGTCCAGGGGGTGCTTAGCCTAGCTTAGCACAAAGACTGGAAGCAGGAGGAAACTGTTTGCCTGTGGTTGATCAAGTGACCAAATTTTGTAGGGATGACGTTTCTTCATCGGCCAACGCGGAAGCTAACTTTGCCCTGTTTCCTTTGTCAGAAAGCCAATGGAATTTAATGATACACATTTTGTTCAATCAGATAAAATTCACAAATTAACTTTTATAACTTTTGGAGTTTCACATGAATCGCCAAAAGTAAAAAGCTAAAGTTAGACTATAAGCAAACTACACTACAGTTTCATGATTCAATGTCGCCAGCACAACAAGGCTTTAAAGCTGTGTTTGGCATGACAACGTTCTGAGGTCTCATTTAGCCACTTGCGAACAACCGCCCTTTTTAAGATGTATAAAAGCTTCAAAATTTATGACAGGGGGAATTTGCTGACGTATTTTATGGCCGTAGTCTCTTAGGCTTGTGTTAACCACAGACAGATGTTATTTCAGGCAGCTTAACAAAAACCCATTGACTTTAAGACAAGAGCATGTAGTGCTAAAATGCTAACTCATTTCTGGGTTTTAGGACTCATTTCTGCACCACTCTATAACAAAGTAGCGTTATTACATATTGTAGGAATAAAATAAAAATAAGATTGCTAGCTACAAGCACGTAGAGTTGAGAGTGAGCTAAAACTAGGCGACCCGACCATAAAGATGGGACTTTTGCGATGCTAGCAGTCATTGGTCAACAGATAAGTTAGCTGCAATGGCAACTACTTTTAAAACCACAATATGTCATTGTTACATTTCTTTTCATACACCTTTTCAATAATCATTATATAATGAAAAGTGAATTAATTTTTTGAGCTAGGCTAGCAGTTTCGGCCTGCTTCCAGTCTTTGCCAAGCTAGGCTACAGGTGCCTTGGTATACGCCTAGGAATAACCGGGCTAACATCACAGAGTGACGCCACCCCCTGCAGCGCCAACATTTCATGTCAACATTTCATTCAATTAACGTCAGCTAGCAACTCATAATTAATCTACAAAAACTGATCATTTTCTTTACAGTGAAAATTTAAGATGTCTTTATCTATAATGTTAGTCAGTGCTGCAAGCTAGCTAACGTTGCCAGATAGTTGTCCAGTAATTTATATAATTGGTGGCTTTAATAACATTTAACGTTAGCATGTACAACCTAGCCAGCTAAGTCTCTGGATCTCAAATATGTTAAACTACTACTAAGTTTGATCACTTTCATCATGGCTGTTGTTGGTCGCAAAGTAGCGCCAGTGCTAACTGATCCTGAATCTAAGTTGTTTTTTAGGCTAGCAGTTTTCATTTGCTTCCTGCTTTTATGCTAAGCTAGGCTAAACACATCCTAGAAACTGATATCAGTGCTGCGAAACTAGAATCCATTGTCCCATCTCAAATTTGAAACAGGCTTTCCAAAATTCTTCCCACAAGTGTCACCAATTACGTGTCTGAAATTTACAAGAAATAAACGTCACCCGAGGATTGGGCTCTTGTCAGGGTTGATAAAACCACTGAAACAGCATTTTGGACCATCAGCTGACATAAAACTTAATTTCCATTAAAACCTCAAACTACTTTGTTTAGGTTTTACAGTTTTAAGACAGGCTGACCCACTCCATTTATTAATGGTAGGAAACTTCTGCAACACATTATTGCCCTTAAATCAACCATTAATTCAAAAACAGTCACATTCGCTCACACAGACTTCTGAAACAATTTCACCAGTAAATTAAAATGTGCAAAGAAAATGGTGCTGTCAGGCTCTTAGCTGTTCTGCTGAAGTCAGGCTGGATGACATCTGATATTTATTAAAAGGATTCATGTAATTCAACCCTAGTTAATGTGGTTTTGTTTACATATCCTGGAGCGTCTTTAGCATTTTTTGGGGCTTCTCTGAGTTATCAAATGGCAGTTTATAGAGTGTTTGCGTTTCATGAATTGCACCAGAAAATTCGAGAGGCATTTAAATACTTAATCCAGGTCTGATGACAGTGTTCAGATAACACAAGGACACTGACATCACTCAGGTGTTAAAGCTTCTGTCATTAATGAGCGGACACTGAGGTAGATGTTATCGATAATAACAGATATACAGCATTCTGATCAAAAGCCAAACACAATCAAAAATATTCAAAGAAAATCAGATGTCAAATGTCTGCGATAAATGCGTTTCTTTTTTTTTTTTGTTAATTTTCCACACGAACATTCTTCATATAGGGGCAGGTTTTTTTTTCCTTTTTTTTAAAGTAGACATTTTCATCAGAGCTGCCCTCTGGAGCTGCTTTGTTTTTACCAAGGCAAAAAAAAGAAAAAGAAAGAAAAAACAAGAAAATAAAATAAAAACACGTTAGCAAAAATGTTAAAAATCTACAAAATAATTAACTAATTCCTCTCCATATAAAACATATACAGTATGACACTTTAAAAAATATAGATTTAGCAACTAACTCCACCAGTCGAACAGAATTATCTCAATAAACTTGATATTGATGAGTTGTTGTTGTTGTTGTTGTTCCCATGTTTCAGATTAGCGGTGCTGGGTTGAGCCGTCAACACAAAAGTCAGACTTGTTTTCTTCTGTTTACATGCTCTACTTTCCAAGCATGCAATAATATGTTTTGGTTTGAATATGATATGCAACGTACAGACAAGGACTTACAAGTTTCTTTTTCTCTACAGCAACAGGAGCAGTCTCCCAAAAAACATCTATTCGTGAATATATGGAGGACTCCGTTAGCCAGCAGACATGTTGTAAATATATGTTGCAGATGATTCAAGTAACATTTGTCGTACCTCAGAGTCCCACTGTAGCTTTGCTCTGTGCAAAAATCAGTCAGGGTGTCCTCTTGTAATGGAAAGGCGTCTCATAGCTCCGTGTTCTCTATGAGTGTCAGTGTTTTTATCCAGAGTTTGTTTTATTTCACCTTCATCAGAGGAAGGAAGAAGAGGAGGAAGAGGAGCAGGAGGAGGAGGTGCGGGGGAAGCAGGGATGGCGTACTCTTTTGGTTTGATGAGGTGGAGGTGTGACTCATCGTTCTGCACCTGGAAAACAAAAAGAAAACATAGTAAAGTATTGATTCTTCACATTCAGGATGAAAATGACTCTGACCTCGTCACATATCAACGTTTGGTCATGGACTTTCCACATCTACATATGACGTCCAATGTACCCTGGGTGTGTTGGTTGTTGACGCTCTGGGACACTGGCTCTATTTTGGGGCCCCTTTTGTTTTCTCTGTATCTTCTGCCCCTTATCTTAAAGAAACATGGCATCGCTTAACACATATATGCAGACGACTCCTGAATTTACTTGCCCGTCAAAAGGCTCAACAACTGCTCCCTGACGCCCCTGTTTGAGTGTCTCAAGGACATTAAGGCATGGATGGTGCTAAACTTCCAGCATCAAAATAGACAGTGCTCTTAAACTTGATAAGCAGATAAATGCTGTAGTGAAGTCCAGTTTTTTTATCATTTGAGGCTTGTATCTAAAATCAGACCTGTGTTTTCGTTTAATGACCTTGAGTGGGTTATCCATGCTTTTGTTTCTAGCCGTTTGGATTACTGCAACGCACTGTATGTGGGGCTAAACCAGGCCTCCCTAGCACGTTTGCAGCTTGTTCAAAACCCTCCATTGGCTTCCGATCAAGTTTAGAACTGATTTTAAGATTTTATTGTTTGTTTTTAAAGCGCAGAATGGGCGAGCTCCCCAATACATCGTCGACCTCCTAAAGTGTACGTACACCCCCTCAAGGTCACTGAGGTCAGCCGATCAGCTGGGGCTTGTGGTCCCAAAAAGCTGTTTGAAAATGAGTGCAGCACTTTGGTAACTTCGTGTTTCTGAAATGTGCTATATAAATAAAATGGACTGGACTGTGTCAACTTCGGCCCTTTACATGCATTGTGTCTTTTCAAAATACACTTCTGTTTTCACAGGAAATGTACAGTTTGGATACAGTCTCTTTCAAAATAAAAGCACTACGTCAGCACGACACTGCGAATTGACGTTTTTTTTTTCCTTCAACAACAAATGCACATGGTTGGGTTTAGGAAAAAAGAACAGGGTTTGGCTTTACATTCATACAGGAAGTGACCACTGTCCTCCCAGGTGAACATCCATGATTGGTGGACACATTCACCACCCCTCCCACCTGCTCAACTCTGACTTTTCACCCCCTTAATTTATGTTGTTGTCTGACCGCATCTCCCGTGGTGCCATTACACCAGGGGGTGTTATGCTAGTGTGAAAGGTCGTCATTTTTTGTCGGGTGTCAGATGCATGAGTCACTGCCCAAGCGTCAGTATTCAACGACTTTGGAACGGGACCTGGTTGCCAAATCACGTTATCGCACCTAACTGCAGCATCTCTGGAAGTATTGAGTATATTTTCAAGAGATGCTCACAGCAACTTTATCTTCTTAGGAAACTTAGCGGCATTGGTGTTAGTCAGCAGATTTTAGATTTGGTGTACCAAACAATGGTTGAGAGTGTTTAATGTTTCACCTTCATGTCTGGTACAGTGATCTGACCTGCACATCCAAGAATAAACTCTCTAGGATTGTGACACTGGTGAGTAAAATAGTAAAATAGTTGGCAGACCACAAAAGCCCCTGACCCAGCTCTTTACATTAAGGACAAGGAAGAAAGTATCTTGACAGGTAGCTCTGTTGAAACATAAAGCGCCAGTGTATCTGCTACATAACAAGCTATAAATGTAAAATATCTGTGCTCTGCAGAATCGTACAGTGCCAACATTTTTTCTGGCGACTGCGTTGGATCTGGAAACTCTGACACTTGAACATACACGCTGTGAACATGTCATCATGTTGAACTCACAATCTGCACACTGACATCTTTATACGTCTCTTTTTACTTGCCCAGTGTCTGCGTCGCCCACACTCACACACACTCACACACACACACTCTCTCACACTCCAGGCCATCTCCATCACCACAGTCACATGCTGAGGAAGCAGAGCCAAGGACAGGACAAACCAGCAGCCATCACTTCCTGTTTATTCTGTCTCGATGGTGCACACTGAGAGCAGCCGAGCTGTTGTCATACACCGAGACGTCGACCGACAACAAGAAGCAAACAAATGTTAAAGGGTCACTGCAGCCTGAGCAGCAGGGGACACTACAGTAAATATCAGGTTGTATGAAATAGTGCCAGAGAACCAAATGATTATTTTTATTTATTTATTTTTTGCAGGAAATTCAGACAAAAGCAGTGATTTCTAATCAAGTAAATATCCTTTATATAAACCCTGTAAACTGTCAGCAGGGGGAATGTTTGAGAAATCAACACTTTAGATTAGTCACTGATCATTTTACCCTTGAATTACTTCATATGTTCACTAGAAATAATAAATCCCGAACGACTACATCTTGCTCTCAGTTCATGTAATCTGCTCCTTCCTTCATTTTTCAACAGAGCAGCAATAAACCTTTAATTTCAAAGGTAACACAACATGTACACTATCAGTCCACAACCAAAATCATAAAAACACACAAGTTTAATGCAACTGGGTTTTAAAAAAGTTAATATTTGAGTAATTAAGGCAAAAAAAAATCTTGTCGCATAGATGCCCTGTGTTAGTGTTACAAAAACATTCAAACAATAAAACAAAGGAACATTTAACATGAGGATAAAAATATAAACAGATAAAAACCAATGATAAACAACAGTATGGCATTAAAGTCTAGTTTATGCCAAAATAGAAAATCAAAAATATACACTTAAATCAAAAGTGATTAGATTTTGGTGGTCACAGGTCAAAGGTCAATGTGACCTCATAAAACATGCTTTTGGTCATAACTCAAGAATTCATTCGCTAATTATGACAAAAAATTTCATACAAATGTCAAATACGATAAAATCATGAAGGGATGACATTATATATCCAAAAGGTCAAAGGTCAACTTCATTGTGACATCATAATGTTCTGCAAAAACATTTTTCTGGCCATTATTCAACATCAACAGAGGTCAGATCAGACGCTAATCTGACATTTATCTTGAAACTGTGCTGACTGTGTAGATCTGTGCTGCCGTGGGGAAGATGCGTGTGAAGCATCCATGTTTTTGCAACTTGACAGGTGTCGTTGTGTTGTGTTTTTTGTGTCTCTTTGTGTTTGTTCTCATTTTTGTGGTTATTTTGTGTCTTTTTGCAGTTCCTCTCTTTGTGGTAATATTGAGTGTATTTGTGGTCGGTAATTGAGTCACATTTTATAAATGAAGGCCAAACCCGGTGTCACTCCAAAGTTATTGAAATCCGGCGCTTGGGCAGTGACTTGTGGCATCAGAAACCAACAAAAAAGGTGTCCTTTAATGTCGACATGATACCCGGACAGTTGCTGTTAAGGTTTAGCTGCACCCGTTAGTGTCAGGGGGTAACATGGTGGGACAAGGATGAAATTTAAGGTGGCGAACGTCAGAGTAGAGCTGGTGGGAGAGGTGGTGGATGGGTCCAACAAACACTGACTTTCACCCCAGAGAGCCCTGTTCTTTTTTCTAAACCCAACTAGACTCACAAGTCAGTCTTTAGATGCTTTGCTTAACTAAAAACTGATGACTTTCTCCCTGATTTTGTGTTTAGATGGGCGGATACAATTTAAGAGTTTAAAAAAACTCCCTACGTTGCAGAACCAATAGTAAATCCGCAGGGCAGTCCTTCGGTGGCTCGCTGAACTCTTGTGCTCGTAAACATAGTCCCACTAGAAACACGTGTAGCGGTACAAAATGGCTCAAGTCGCTGTAAGTCCTTCATTTCCACAATCTTGTGGACTGAGCACACGTTTGATAAAACAGAGTTAAATCTCTCGGCATCCATTTTCAAGCTCTCTGTGTGTTTGTTTCCTTGCGGACAAGAAAAGGGGGAGCGCACATTTCCGGGAGGGCGTGTCCTTTTCAAAAATGCAAGAGGCGTTGCTTTGTTGCCGGCCGTTTGCTCCGGTGTGTTAAACACACTTTAGAAAGGAGTGTCCCCAGACTATCAGAAGGCGGAGATCTCTGATTGTCTGGTGGCAAGACGAAAACCCAACCATGTGTGTTTGTTGTTGAAGGGAAAAAAACGTCAATTCGTGGTGTTGCACCGATGCAAACTTCCTGTGAAAACAGATGTGTATCTTGAAAGAAGACAATGCATGTAACAGGCTGAACTTGACATGGTTTCCTACAGCATCAACAACCAACACACCTAGGGTACCTTGCACGTTTTATGTAGACGTAGAAAGTTCATGACCAAAATGTGATTGTGACACGAAGGCCCCTGACACTTTGGGCCCCTGGACCTGGGCCTGTTCAGGCCTGTTTGCACTGTGGTGTGCGGTTGTATTTTCTGTCTGTTGTCTTGACACTTTGTGAGTTTACTTTGAGTATTCCTCACACTAAGAGGCAAAGAGATCTTGTGGAACATGATGAATTTGCTGCTCATCTCCCAGCTGACACACACACACAAACACCTGCATGAATATCGGCAATTGACGTCTGTTGGGCTGATGGTGAAAATGTGAACATGTCAACCAACACTAGAAGACTTAACTTTTAAAAATGACAGTATACTGGCCAGTAGTAAGTTGTTTTTTGGGATAAACACATAATATACTTTTGATTTTGAATTTCTGTTTCCCAAAGACCTCGAAATGCTGTGAGATGCTCCTTTATTACATCCAGAAGAAGATGCTGTGAGACTGTGTTGGACTCTAAACATTGTCGTGTTTACAACAGGCCGCAGCACCAACACAGAAAACACATCACACCTGTACCAAACTGCACTGTCACCAGCCAGGGCCCTCTGAGATTAAACCTCCAGGGACCACAGGAGGTTTTTTAATCCAGCCAGAAACTCACTTTACTGACCCAGTTTAATCTCAGCTGTCAGCTACAGACGCTGGTGGGAAATAATATTACTATAAAAGTCTTGAGCAGAGCGGACGTGATGAGCTGAAACAAGACAACGCAGCAGACGGTGATCCGGACCAGAAACAGAAACAGCCCAACCAGCTGTGTACCGCATGTCATTTGTATAACAACCCAGTAGAAAC